CAGCCTTTTAAATAAATTTTAGTGCATTGGATTTATGTTTATTTTAATTCATTTTTCAGCTTTTATCCAAATTGTATCACCAACGGTGATGTAGTAAAAGTCAGAACTAACAATAAGCTTACTTAGTAGGACACCAAGTCTGACTCCTTCAGTGGTGGTAGTGTAGAAATAAGGCACAGGCATACAAAAAAGAAAACAGATGAGGAGGTAGGGAAACCAAGGTGATTGGCTTTTGTCGGACGGCTTCTTGGTAGAAATGAGTGTGCAGAGTTTCTTGAAGATACAGAGAGAGGCTACTGTTTAGGTAAAGTGAGGCCATTCCACCACTGTGCACTCACATATGAAGTGAATCTTGATGCAGCATAAGTCACTTCTAGGCAACAATCTCTTAATGAACAGCATAACCAATTTTGCATGTACGACTTTGCAGGAGTAAAGATGGGAACTGCTCCATTAAGCACTCTAGGGTTACAGATAGGGAAACCAGTCAGAAGGAATTTGAAGATGGATGAATCCAAATACAGATCAGTCCTAGAAAGACATAAAACAGGCTGCTAAAGAGGCTTATTCTAAAATATGAGTGCAGTGAGCCTACTCAACAAACTATTGAACTAAGCATATTGGTCGAATTAACCTGCTCAAGCCTTAACAAGCTAGATGATAATTCATGCCAGATAACATCAAACCCAACATCTACTTTTCTAGTTGATTCTGTTTCTGTGAGCAGCAAAGCGATGCACATTTGCTGCAAAGCGAGGTGCCAAGACACGGAGCTCACATCTACAACTTCTGACAGATGGGCAGTCCTTCCAGACAGCTCCTCGCTACTGCAATCTCAGATGCCAAGTATTTAGTTAAGTGTATTTTTTTGGACTACCACTTGAATAACAAGGATATGATTAATAGGCTTCCGCTGCTTTTAGAGATCCAACCTTATCCAACAGAGCAGGGAATAAAAACATCCAAAACTTGGCTGTGGCTCAAAGCATCACTAATTGGATACTTTAGAGATTTACTGAATTAATTTCTACCACTATTAATGTTGTATTAATGTTACAACTCATCCGTAATGAGGATCCTTATGTAAGAAAATCTTTACATCGCTTCTGCATCTCAGAGAAATTGTTTAAAAATGGCTTCACTGGATTGCAATCAACATAATGTGTTGCTGCAGCCTGTGCACAGCTCAGTCACTGACAGGCATGAATATAATGATGCTTCCAATGGCCTCTGGTGAGTTACAGTAAGAGTACTAAGACTGTGCAGGCTTTCTGCTGCTGCTCCTCCCTGTAGGCTCTGCAACACTAATCCCCGTCTACATGTATGTTCAATGATTTATGGTCATAATAACCCAAAAAGAGGATTAAGCTAATTAAACCACAGCTCTGTGCTTGTAATGAACACATCGGGAGGGAATAAAACACCCCCGTATTTATGCCACACACACTCAGAGAGAAGGAGCTGCAGTGTCTTAAGGGTGTCTGCTTTTTATTTTCCCCAGCAAATGACTCTGCCTTTAAAAGCTAATCGTCGGTTAGCATGACTCGACAGCTGAATCATCCCAAGATTACCGATACTGTAGGGGGAAGCCGTGCTTCCAGATGACTAGCAGCTCCATTCTGGATTATTATATTAGAGATACAGAGGCTTTTTCTTCCCCAGCTCTTCCAGGTCCAAACCCTGGAAGTGAAAACCAAGACCTAAAGCCATGCCGTGGTTTTAGGGATCATATAAGCCTGTAACACGCTGGATTAATGATGCCAAGGTTGCCAGTATTAATACAGTGGATGTCTGGAGGCTGTGTACTGTGAACCTGGTGAGACTGCTAACACTGGATGATGACAACTGGAGGACATGAAATGCATTAGGCGCTGTAAATTGATGGGTGTAGTTAAAGCTAAAGTTGAATAATGCTAGCTTTGGGCTGTGTGTAGCTGGGACTCATGCTGCTGATCCGTGATGGCTCAGGCTAAAGATCATAGTCTAAATCAAATCAACAGATAGCTGAGAAACAGCAAAATCCTGCTGTAGGGTAGCCTACAGCAAAGAAAAGACAATACTGGTCAGAAGTTAATATCCAGTCATTAGGACTGTCGTAAATTATTGCTTTTAAAGGGAAGTGGTGTCCTAGTGGTTGGAGCATTGCGCTTGAGTCCCAGAGGTTCTGAGTTCAAGTCCCACTCATTCTCATTTCAAGGACTCTTGGTCTCTGAGCAAGATCTTTAACCCTTGATTGCTCCGCTGGCGCCACACAATGGCAGAACCATCCCCAAGGGGATGGGTTAAATACAGAGACTGAAATTCCCCTTTGTGGGACAACATAGGGATTTACATTACATTGAATAACTTCAATAATCGATGAATCTCGATCAAGCCGATTAATTGATATTGGGGAATGGCAACCTAGTGGTTAGGGCATTGCGCTTGGAATCCAGAGGTTCTGAGTTCAAGCCCAGAAGTCAGAACTCAGAACTCTGGCTACCTAAGCAAAGACCCTTAACCCCACACTGCTCCCTTGGAGCCTCACAATGACAGCCCACTGCTCCCCAAAGGGATAGGTTAAAATGCAGAGAGTAAATTTCGGTGCTCTGTACTTGTGAAAGTGTAATGACAATAAAAAACCCAAGGGAATCAATTAAACTGTGTAACTACTGTGGAATAAAATACCTTTCTTGGGGAATTTCTCATGTCCCTACAGGCTCTAATGTGCATAAATACACCCTTACTAACATTTGTTTAAGTGTCTCTTTTAGCACGTTTTTATTTGTCCAAAGCCAACATTAAGGTTGGGGCCATTCCAGTAGTAAAATATTACGGATCTTTATTCATACCAAAATGACTTAAGATGGGTGTTTGGGGTCTTTTGTTTCCTCTGAAAACAGATGTATTTTAACTTTCAGTTATCTTGTGTGTTTACAGGTTACTGGTGAAGATCTTAGAAGATCAAAGACCGCATAATACAATCCTACCACCATCCTAACTAGCAACTGCTAAAGGGCACTTTGATTTGGTCTGTCATTGTCATTTTCGCCAAACCATCCAATCGTTGTCTACTTTGACCTTCCAAACATTCCCCATAAAGCTTTTGGCTTGCCCCTGTGATTAGGTGTGAATTTGAACTGAGCCTGAAGGTGGGATTTTGAGCAGGTTCAAGATGATACTGTAGTAAACAAAACAGGTTGTGGAATGGATGAAACAGTCTAAAGTCTAATCTCTGAAATGTTCCATGATTCAAGCCTTGTTAAAAACTGATGGACTTCCTTTAAAATTCTGGATCATGCTATAAAATCCCATTTTATTGGGCTTTAGCATTACATCATATCATTTTTTTTTTGTCAAGTATTCAGCCAGATTTGTGCAGGAAATGTGTAAATTACAACAGCACATCTGGTATAAATGTAGGTTGCAAGGAGGTATTTAGTGATCAATTGTCCTTCCATTGAAACATTTCAATTATCCATGTGTGCCTCTGTCTTCATTCTGTGCTTTTCTCATAACAAAGCTACTCTCCGCATCCTAAGAGCTCAAGACCCTCTGCTCTGCACACATTAGCCTTGTCTGTACTCTGTCTGAGGGTCATTGAGGGTGCAGCAGCAGTAAGTAGCTAAAGCTTCACATCAGAGTCGTTCACACATGGATGATCTGGTACAGTCATTTAGTGCCAGTCTATCAATCATCAGGTAATTACTGACGGATTGCCTTTTGACCCTTTAGTCAGTATTAAGATCGAGATAAATACTCCTGGAGGAACGTTGAGAGGCATGATTGAAATCTCTTTAAGAAGCTCCAACATCTAGTGTTTTTAGCATGTAATTATCCCGCAGTTCCAGCAGTACAATACGTTTAAATTTATATACACTATATCAGCTAGTTCAGAAATCAGACCATTACCAGAGTGACTACCGGGTAATAGATATCCTTATCTTCAAGTTTGCCGCTGTTGGTCTACACTTTCTATGCTTTTGCCTCTGGGTAACCTGTTTATTATAGAAAATATGCAAGCATTGCCAAACGACCAAGAATCAATTTTTGATGTGTGCATTATATTGAACTAGGTGTTGTAAACATTCCCAAGACCTTTTGATCTATGTGAACATGACCTCATGCTGTTACTGCAGATATGTTGGCTGCAAATCCAGTGTGCGAATCCCCCATTTCACCACTTTCAGAAGGTACTCTAATGCATTTAAATCAAGGGGCTAAGTACACTGAACTTATTATGTTCAACAATCAGATTAAGAGGATTTAGCATTGTGAAATAGTGCATTATTTTGCTAAAAGTAGTCATCAGTAGATGGGTAATATCTAGTCATAGAGGAATGAAGGTCAGCAACAACTCGAAGGTTGGCTGTGGTGCTTAAATTAAGCCTAATTGAATAACTTAATTGAATATTCGGCATTTAACTTTACAAACCACTGAAAGACATAACGAATAATAAACTTGTGCATGCAGATCAAAATTTAGACATCATTCATAGTCCTTAAAGGTCATGTAGTAAATCTGGCACATCAACCTCAAAAATGACGGCATAATATGTTCATAGCCGCACCTTTAATAGTCAATTGGAACTCAAGTAGACCAAGAGATAAAACCCCACCCCAATTCAAGCTTTGGATGATACCTAACCTTATTTTCTGCATTTAAAGGTATAGTGGAGGACGTTCTTTTTCCAGGTGGATCATCAAACTAAGTGATCCTCCTAATTGTCAGTCATTCTGATGATATGTTTACGTAAGGCCGTCCTACGTGCTCGTCACCATTTTCACTTAACGGTGGTAAGTCTGACAGTGGAAAAATTGCAAACCTTCTTTTGGAAAGTAAACTTGTATGAGCAATGCAAACAGCAATATTTAAACAGAGCATGCTTTTATTGGACATTCCCTCTTCTTTTTTTTGAAGTGGAGAGGGTGGGTTTTTTCAAAAATTTGCGAAAATCCTCCATTATACATTTAAGATTGATGGTGAAAAAAGAAAGAAAGAAACAAAAAAGCAATTTTACCTGTATGGGTCCTCTGATGTGCCTTCAGATGAGAACTCTTGGTGTAAACCTTTCTGCAGCCATTAAACTGGCACCTGTGGACTCTCTTCTTGTTCTCAGGAATATCTCCGCCCAGACTTCCACCACCTGCCTGCTCGCTGTCACTCAGGGCTCCTCCTCGGCTTGGTGGGGATGGTAACGCTCGAGCAGCCACCACTTTGGTTGCCCCTAGCCCTACTTTCTTTGCCACCAGTTTAAGCGTTAATGTGCCGTCTGCCGTCGCGGTGAGCGTCTGTGTGGGTTTGACGAGGTGCCGGCCGAGCTCTGGCGATGACGGTGGTGTTAGGGATGTGACGGCGGCACTAAGTTGTGCAGCGTTGACTCCTCCGAGGACTTGTTCCTTTGTGTCAACCCCAGATACTGCTTGACCATTGTTTGGACTGGACACCTGAAGGACTTTGGCCTGAACCTTAGGGAGGGTTATGAGTAGAGGCGGTGGGCTTGGGTGGTCAGCGAGGCTGGGCAGAAGTGGGTCCATCAGATCTTCATCACTGTCACCACCTTGCATGAAGGCCGGTGTTAGGAGACAGTCCAACTCTTCATCAAAGAGCTCAGAGAGTCGCTTGGGCTCTGTCTGTAGATACCTCTCCAACTCTAGACATGTCTGAAAGAAAAGAGGACCAAAATTAGAATTAACATATTTTTTAAATCTATTATTTAATTCACATTCAGCTTCATTCAGTCAAGTGCACAAAGGTCCCACCAACTAGTTAGGCCTATATTGACTACATGTAGGTTGAAAAGTCAAAAGAGTTCCTAACCAATTTGCCATCAAGTGGTCACACAACCATTTTATTTTAGGATAACAGTTTCAAAGTGACAAGTAAGGCTTGTCTCAGACAATCTCTCCGCAGATCAGTATACTCACTGGTTTCCCAGTCTAATTTAACTTGGATATCGGCTGTAGGCGTTCTATTTCTCGGCAGCTGCTGACCATGTCACCTGGCATACGGCAGTCCTGCGAGAGGAGGGATTATTCTGTGATTGATTGTAGCTGCCTGGACAAGCTCTCTGGAGCCCTGAACTGTGGAGGCCTTGCCTGTTTCCCTCTGCTCTGCCAAATCAACCAGCCATGGAAGTTATATCGAGAGATTTAGGAAGCAGGGTGACAGATGAAAAGACATAGAATAATAAAAAAGGCAAAGACAGAAAAGGACACAATGAGAAAAAAAAAGAAGAAAAATTAGAGCTTTTTTTTATTAATCCTGCTAGTTGAAGAACACTGTTTTCATTTTTTATGCTACTGTTTGCTGGAAAACGGACAGAATCACCACAGTTGTTGGTCAGCTGGCCCTCCAGCGTCTTTCATCAAGGGCACCTGTGTCATTAACTCCAGAAGGCTGAGCCAAGAAACCTTCCAGTGACTCAATTTCACAACTTCAAACCTGTGTTTGTCTCAAAAACATTTGTATTTTCTTTATTACAGGCTTATCATGGTGTTGTTTGTTTCAGGCTTGTTTCTTTTTTTTTTTTTTATTTAAAACTGGTATCTGTGGCAGTGTTTAACCTATAGCTTCCTGCCCAGGATGCATCACTACTCAAAAGACAACCAAAAAAATAAAAGGTTGAAACCTTAATACATTTTTTTTCTGATTTGCATGTTGAGTCAATGGGGATAGGTGCCTCAATGGAGTATGAGCTACAAGAAACTGTAAAAAGACTGCTGTATATCAAAGGTTTTAATTTATCATAGGACTCTAAATATGCCATTAATTTGCAGTACATTTTGGAAAACTTTATCTTTGCTCAACACTATATGGGTTAAGATATAAATCACTTTACTTTGTGTGAATAAATGCCCCACCTTATTGTAGTCAAGGAGGCATAGTTTGTACCCATGGGGCCTTCTGTGTCTCTGCTATTTACCCAGGAGAAATCCTGCCACCAAATGTGACTTAAATCATACTCTGAACTACAACATTTAACTTTGCCATACACAATTTTAAACTTTATTTCTATCTAAAAAAACAACAACAACATTGTACTTTCAATAACACAACCTTTCAACATGATCAAAAAATGCCCCAAATTCTAAATGTAATTTTGGCAACTGCCTAGTAGAACCTGACTGATGTCCCATTCATTCAGTTATGAATTGTATGGCTATCACAATTTTCCTCCTTAATTCAAGTTCTTAAACTTCTAAAACAGGTGGGGTATCTTACACACCAAGGCTGCGTTCACACCGCAGCCTAAAGTGATCCAAATAAGATTTTTTGGCCCATATGCGACCTGGATCAGATCTTTTCATGGCTGTCTGAACAACACAGATCCCATTTTTTCCAATGCGACCCAGGCCACATGGCTATGTGGTCCTGAATCCGATACGAATCAGATCTTTTCAAATGCGACCTGTGTCTGAACGGCCAGGTCGCTTTTATCTGACCAGAACGCCATTAGTAACCGACATAGGTCACTATCTTTTTTAACCATCTTGAAAAATTGAAGTTTTAAGGCTTGGAAAGATCGCTAGATGCACTCCAGCACTAAATCAGTGTTTACTTCCGTAACATGGATTTAGTGCTGAAGCACGCTGGCTTGTGACGTCATTGCGTTCTCTACTGCGCATGTGGGACACATAAGCTGTATGAATGCAGTTTACACAGGAGATCACATAAAAAGAACACAAAAGATCACAAAAATCGGATTTCACAAAAAATATAGGGAATTGAGCATCAAGGCCTGCAGTGTGAATGTAGCCCAGGTGACATGATCTTATCTACCTGAGGTTAATGGATAGTGTTTGTCGGACAAATCTGCATAAGATTTTTATAAGTCAGTTGAAAACAACATTCTCCCAGGAGAGGACAAACAGCATAATTAACTTTAAAAAATTTAGCAAAAATATATATACATAGATAATCCTGTATTCATCATAAGGCTTAATTAGAGTGTTGACTAACTTGGTCATGCTGATATAATATGTAAAGAAATATGCTAGCACTGAGTGTTATATTGACCAAATCTTCAGCCTTTCTAGTTATTTTTACATCTCAAGGTTCTTCATTCACAATCAAACAAATGCACACTCACAGACACACACCATACAACAATATGCCGATTAGTAGGCACCATTTAAATGAAGTGCTTTGTCCAGATCAAAACGTGACCTTGGTTAAATTTGCAATTAAATCCCAAAATTTTCCAAATGAAAAACCTCCACTCTTACTATTAAGCGCCATCAATATCTAACCTTAAAATATGTTAAAGAGAGAATGCAGATGTAACTTTAAAGGTATATTCACAAGAACACATTCAAACATTCACAGATTAAAAGTTTTACTAGATTACCAACTACCGTATTTTCACGACTATAAGGCGCACTTAAACGTCTTTTTTTTCCCTCAAAATGTGCGGTGCGTCCTTTGGTGCGGTGCGCCCTATGTGTGTTGTAACTGCGACTTTTGAGACCACCTCATTGAGGAGATGATGAAAGAGTGGCTGAATGTAAGGAGACCAGGTGTTTTTTTTCCACTCATCACCATCGCTGTTAATATGTAACTCCATGCGTGCCCATCTCACAGCTTATGGGAAAAACATGGGGAAACAAATTAACGCTGTGCTCGCTGTTCAACCGCTCGACATCGGTGTGAACCGGACCCAGCAGGTGCCGCAGAAGCAGCGAGTTTACATGCAAAGTCAATGGTTGACGCGCGTATAGGCACAGCAAAAGGTCCCGCAGCGCGTTTTGGTGCAGCACGTCGGGAGCGTTTAAGCATCTGACGCACCGCCAACGCGCTGCTGCTGCTCAGATGGAAAAATTGAAGTTTTGCTGCTGGACGCGCCGCATCAACCAATCAGAGAAGCTGATCTGGGAGCTGACAGCGAGACAGACACAGCGCTCTGATGATATTAACGCAAATGAAAAGGCTGGGTGGATGCGTGGCTGAGGCAGGTGTATGTGAGAAGACTAGGTGGTTTTTTCCACGCATCACCATCGCTGCGTGCCCATCTCACAGCCGATGTGAAAAAAAGATGAATCAAATTAACGCTGTGCTCGCCGTTATCCCGGGGGTCTGACAAAGGAACTTCCACCGCTCGACATTGGTGTGAAGCGGCCGTTCAAAGTAAGGCTGCGAGCGGCGTGGGAGCGATGGATGACAGACGGAGACCACAGTTTCATGATAAATGGAAGGCAGCGCCGGGCAAGTTACGCCACCGTTTGCGGATGGATTGTAGATGGACTAACGTGTCTGCTGGCTCTGTTGTTCAAGCTTTCGCAAAAGCCGGCATTATTTCTGAGGAGCTGCGCTGCACGGAAAGTGACTGACAGCGCAGAAGGGGAAACTGGCATGTCTGATTTAGCGCAGCTGTTTTATTCAGAGGAATGCTGAGGATAACAGAGGATGATGACTTTGATGGGTTTGATTAATACTTTGTAATAAATACATGAATAAAGCACAAACATACTCAGGTTTGCTCCCGCTCTATTTTTCTACCTGAAAACTTAATTCAACAGCAGCCTCTGGTCTCCTCCTCCTCTTCAGCGCGGTGGCTGGCAGGTGTTTTTTCATCTAAATAATCTAAATCTTGCAGCTATATTTGCTGTGATCAGTGGGAATAAAGTAGTTTTAATATGTTTTTAAGTGAGAAAGGCCACCTGAAAACTTAATAATTGCAGTCAGTTCATCCAGATTATCTATTTCTGTCGGAGGCGCTCAGACCCCCACATACCAGCGGTGCACCGACAGGAGAAATCCTTTCGTTCACCGCGGCTGCTGGCAGGTGTTTTTCATCTAAATAATTTTAGCTGCAGGCACCAGGATACCGGTAATAAAAGCGAACATATTCTGTCGGCAGGTTTCAGGATTTTAAGTTAATTTAGGAGTGATCACAGCGCTGTGTCATCTGCGATGTGTCTGTCTCATGGCCAGCTGCCAGGTTTGATTAATACTTTGTAATAAATACATGAATAAAGCACAGGCATACTCAGTTTTGCCCCCGCTGTATTTTTAAATACCCAGTAGAGGTATTTAAAGGTAGTAGAGGACATGCACCTGTATATAAAAAACGCGCCCTATAGTCCGGTGCGCCTTATGTGTGTGTTAAATACAGAAATGGGACAGATAACTGAGAGTGCGCCTTTTAGTCCGGTGCGCCTTATGGTCGTGAAAATACGGTATGTATTTCCCAAAATCCCTGAGTATGGAATCGAACCTGCAACGTGATAAGAATAAAAACCAAAATAGTTTCCACAGAAATTGAAATCTCACTATAACTTTAACAGATATAAAGTAAATTTATCCAAATAACCAAAAATAAATATTTCAAAACTATTTTTTTTCTTTACAATCAACTATTTTTCTAATTTAAACTGAAAAACCTTTTAATCCCATATTTTCTTCTCACTATGAATAACATCACCCATAAGTAACAGTAGAATACACAGAAACTTTTGTGTAGATAATCTGAAAATAACTGCTCAGAGGGTTCCCCCCCCAGCTAAGCTGTTTGAGTGAGAATTGATAGAAGTGACCTTAAGAGACTGAAGCTCAGCAGAGAGTCTGAGCAAATTTGCCAGTGAGTTTAAACCTCAGGAAAGCAACTATCCCTCCATCTTATATAACAAAATGGATTCATTAAGGTATTTATATTGATTTGAAA